CTCTCTCTCTCTCTGCCCGCCCCACTCGCCTGCGCATGTGCACACCCATACTCTCTCTCAAAATAAATAAACATTAAAAAAATAAAAGGAAAAGGAAGATAAATTTTCCATGCTGACATTGTAGCAAAGGCTGCTTTTGCTTGGTTGGTATGTAATGTCTTACATTGGGTTACTTAGGAACCAGTCCCTGGAATGGAGTTAGGATATTTATTAAGAAACACCCCTGGGATCAGCCACCATGGAAGGGAGGGACCCTAAGGAGGATCAGGCAGAGGGAGAAGTCAGGTGTCTTTGAAGACCACAGTGTCTGCCTTAGCTGACCCCCCCACCTCCACCCCCGGGAACTCTGGATTTGAATGGTTTTTCAGAGTATCCTGAACCGGGGCATTCCCAGATTGATATGTATCCCCATCCTCCCCCCAAGTCCAGGACATGACTTTGGTTGAGCTGGCTCTTGGCAGCCAGTCCTTAAGGGACAGCACTGACAGCAGGAGTGTGAGAAACAGCCTCCAGTCAGGTATACTGGATTCTTTCTGACCAATTATGGATTTTTTTAAAACAAAAGTGGTAGCTTGCTGTATTCCTATTTATATGTACAGAAATGGCACTAAGTGAGAGTTTTTCATGGTTAATGTGGTTTGGAAAATAGGATCTTAAAGAACAGAAGAGAGCACATTTTTATTTCATTTGAGTATTAAATTCTGAAATAAAACGGTAGTGTAAGCATGTATACAAGGCTTATCTATTTGCATTTGGATTGTCTTATTAATAATAGGCCATGTTGATTCAAAGTAATTGCAGTGAATAATGGAATTGTAGTTTGTGATAGTTCTTTGCGATCTTTGGAGAAAATTTGTTACGTATGTCACAGAGAGTGATGCTGGCAGGAAGGGCATGGTTGTATGTGGATGGGACAGTCATTTACATTTAGTCTTTATTTAAACAATTCATCCCATTAATGGGTTCAGTCCCTTTAATTCTATCTTTTTGTTCCTTTGTCATTTAGTCATACCTTCAGTTCCATTCCCACTGGGTACAGAGCCCAATGCCTGCCTACCACATAGTGGAGACATAGTCCTCTCTCTCAAAGAGTTCACGTTAGCATCCAAAAATCACGTTTTTTATATCACCACACAATTGTACTAGAAAAGCATACCATTTGGGAAGATATTAAGCTCATGATGCAAGACATGAGTTTTCTAAAATTTAGTGTGTGTGGGGTTTTTTTTTTTTGAAAACCCTGGGTTTTTTTCATTGGTAATAAATATTTCAGTTGTTATGTGTGCCTTTGTGAAGACAAGCTAACTTGGTTCATTTTTTAATGAAAATGTCTATCAGATACCCACGTCTGAATGCCCGTAGTTTATCGTGGTTTTTTAAAGTAAAAATGGTCTTCCACAAACAAAGCAGCTGACTTAGCCCACAGCTCTAGCATGAACCCTCTTCTTGAGGACAGCTTTTGTATTTCAGTGTGAGGCAGAAGTGCATTCTGGTTGCTTCCCATTTTGTCACACAGCATTAGAGAGGCAGCCCCAGGTGGCCCCAGTTGGTTAAGCGTCTGACTCTTGATTTCTGCTCAGGTCAGGATCCATGCTGTGTTGGGCTCTGTGCTGACAGTGTGGAACCTGCTTAGGATTCTCTCTCTCTCTCTCTCTCTCTCTCTCTCT